GTGTTAAAGAAATAAAAAAATATATTGAAATAAATTAAGAATTGTAAACTAAAATAATCATAACTACACGTCCATCCTATGTAAAAATTGAATTATTGCCCTTCGATGGTGAGGAAGTGGAATTAGGACGGCTTGTTTTTAATAATATTGGGAGAACGGCGAGTCGCGAGTCCGCGCTCCAGTATGTATATATTATCTATCTTGATGCCTAAAATTCAGTAATTAGATATAATGCATTTAATATGATATTAGGATATAACTACCAACAATAGTGGAGAAGAAAACAGTGCAGCAGTTGTAGCAAAATCAGATTGTACTAATGTCAAAGAAAAAGTTGAAAATTGTATTCGAGTTTGGGCCACAAATTATAATGTATCTCGAAATTGTGCTAATGATGTCTTAGGTATGTTTAGAAATATAGGTGTTAATGTACCAAAAGATATTAGGATAATTCTCCACACACCTACTTTGCATCCCATTATAGATATTCAAAATGGACTAGGACTTTAAATGATTTGGAATATTGGAAAGCTACAGAATATAGAGCATTTTTGCTTTATACTGGTATTATTGTGCCATAAGAAAGGATTTTTATAATCATTTTTTGTTACTGTTTATTTCTATCCGTATCCTTTCTTCAGAAATCTGCTTTTCACATAACATTATTGCCAATGAACTGATTTTAAAATTTGTTGATAAATTTGCATTATTATATGGTCGTGAATATGTTAATTATAATGTGCATAGCTTAATACATTTGCCTTTTTATGTAAGATCTCAAAATCTTCCATTACATTTATTTAGTGCCTTTAAATACGAGAATTACCTTCAACAAATCAAAAAGTTTATGAAATGTGGTAGATATCCACTATCTGAGGTTCATAATCGTTTGTCAGAGTCTGAAGAACTTTCTTTAAGGGAAATAGATAGCAGCAGCAATAACATTATACTAAAATGTTTTACCATTGATGAATATGATTCCACTTTAACCATAGTTTATTACATACATATCACTTTAAAAAACTCAAATTACATTCTCAGCTCAACATCAACTAAAGATCAATATTTAGTTTTGGAAAATGGTGATATTGTAGCTATTCAATCAATTTATAAAAACTTTAACGATGATATTATAAAATTAACAGTCTAGGTACTATAATATTATGTACTATTATAATAAGTATGTATATTATACAAAAATATATTATTATATTTGGTTATTTTCGTTCAGATCGTTCTAAATTGAATGAATAAAAATGTAATGTTTAAACGTTTCCTTTAGATTCCAAAGAAAACAATTCTGTAACGTTTTATATAAACGTATTTAAAACGATTCTTATACGTAGAATCTAAGTTTGTGTAACATAATAAACACCAAATAAAAAAGTTTTAATTAGTGTTACAAAAAAACACGACAGAAACATAATAACGAACCATCACATAAATGAATTATTATTGTTTTGAAAAACACGGCATATTGTGTTCCTAAATTGTTTTTGGAACAAGAATGAAATTATTTTTGTAAACGTTTTATGGAAACATATTTTTAATGTATTGGTAACAATTATTTGTCCGGTGGGTGGCCATAACAGTGTGTATAGGTATATACATAATGGATTAGTGCTCTTTAAATGATACTGTAAACCGTTATAGGCACCTTTCATATTAGCAGCACCATCAAAAGAGCAACCAACAATTTTTGACATATCAATATTTAGTTAAAAAAATTCATTTGAAATTAAATTAAATTAGCCAATACCGGTAGAATCATAAGCAATAGTTAGTTGTAATCGACATAAAATAAATCACAATTTATTAAAATAAAATGTAGACACTGGCTTCAATTATTATAAATTATTATGATACGCATCTAATAACTTTCGTGTTATATTACATATAATGTAACATAACATATACATATTATGTTGACGCAAAGATTTTGCTAATTTTATCATTAACCACCCAAATATACTGTACACAAGCAATACGTTTATTTCGTTATCTGTAATAAAAGAGTTCAGAATTTCCAGAAATAGAACCATTTATTCCACTAATACTAATTCTATTCTGACCGTATCGCAGTTTGCAGGCAGCCAACCAATGACAAATTTATTAATAGTAAATAATAATATTGACATACTGTCAATTGGGAAGTCGAAATTGTACTGGTTTTATGTACTCTTATACCATATTAATATATTATTATTATACCTATATAGACACATAGTAATATGTTACCAGCTACTATATTGGTAATATTATTTACAATTATTAATAAATAAATAAAATTATTATGAGATCTAAAACAAAAATGTAATAAAATAATAAATCGACAAGTCAAGGGCCCCGAACCCCCGACTTGTCGAGACCTCGTCAGCAATCGCTGATCAGCAGTCCTGCCCAGTCCGAGCCTGCCTATTGAACAGCAGAGTGACATCCCCTTACAACCATTTTAAGGAATACAATTTATTGCACAAAATATTATAGTATTATAGTGTAAACTATTAAAACGAACCATGGGACGCCATCTGCCGATTATTTCATTATTATTCTAAACCAAAAATTTAATGATAATTAAAAACGCAAGATGGCTCACACGAGGAAAGTCTCAATAAATGAATATTCTGAGTTATTATAATAGGATTTTAAAACGAACTTCTTCAATGTAGCGTGAAAAATTAAAATAATATAATAGCAAGATACATATAAAACATTTTAAAATCATTAAAACAATACTATTAACATTAAAAAGTCATGTAAATAACAAAAAAAATCTCCTCTTAAACGAAAAGTGAATCATTCAAAGATATAATATACCATGTTTTAAACAACTCGCGATAATATGAGAGTAAGTATTAATTTCATAATTGTACTTACTCCTATTTTAATTCGCAATTAATCAATTTTTGGAAGCCACCAATTTATGGTGGCTTATAATAATAATAATTATTAAAGATAAGTAAAAAATTAAAAACGGCGCATGGGTACTTGCACCCGGGAGTACGAAAACATGGTCCCCTGGGCTGGTTTGTCGCATTTTACTATGTCCCCGAAAGCTTTGTAGCTCCTAGACTTATTTTCATCTTATAGAGAATTTTCCTGGCTGTCCGAATATATAGGTTTAATGCGTTGCCATCTTCCGGAACTTGGTCAAAAAAATTAAAAACCACGCGCCCGCCAGTACCTAGGCAGTACGAAAACATGGTCCCCTGGGCTGGTCTGTCGCATTTATATACGAGCACATAATGATGTAAGTGAATTTCATGGCGCCATCTCGTTGTTGACGGTAGTACAATTGTCGAGTGCCTTAAATATAATAAAACGCAACCGTGCACACAAGGCCTGTTATCACTAGTCGTCCGAGAAAATGGTAACCTAGCTATGGTCCCCCAACTTCACACTCGTCGAATTTAAAGGCCGCTCGGCCTACCCGTCGTCCTCACTACAATCGGCTCTCTACCAGCAACAAAATATTATCAATATAAATCAGTATTAGTTTATTAAGTTTTTAATGTATTTAGTTTTCATTAAAATGTCGTGCGATCAGGACTTATTATTGGCTGCCGCGGCGTTCATAGTCATTGAGAATTTATATGTTTAAAAAAACCGAAACCGCGGAGATTCTGGGTACGACCTATAGTCTTCAAAGTCGTGAAATGTACAACACAGTCATATTTTATCCGATTTAATATCAGATAATACTGATATATTAAATCTAGAATATAGATGCAATGGAGGTCTCAGAAACTTTTTTAGGATGTCACCTTCTCAGTTTAATGAATTATTAAACATGGTAATTACTACTTCCTAGTATCACGAAAAATGACACTAATTTTAGAAAAGCAATACCTGCTCAAGATCGATTGTCTATAACTTTGAGATTCTTGGCAACAGGCGACTCTTACCATTCACTATCATATTTATTTAAAATTTCAAAAGTAGTACCAGAAATATGTAAAGCAATTGTGGATGTTCTAAAGGAATATGATAAGGTAAGTAATAACAATAAATAATAAACAAAATTAAATACTAACACCAGTTTTTAATTTAACATCATAATTGTTAAACAACTAACAAATATAACAACATTTTTATAATCTTATATTTTGAAAATACCACTTGTATGAAAAATTAAGACACATCACTTTATTAATAATACAGAAATACAGAAGAAAATAATATCTGGTATTTTACAGGTACTCTGTAAAAAATAATATTAAAACATGTGACCTCTATATTATGTTAATAGAAAAAATAGTTTGAAGATAAAAATAAAAGTAATATTATTTAGCAATTATACCTAGTCTTTACTATACATTTCCCCTGCTTTTGAACTCTGTGGAGGCATAGTATAATCTATTTGTTGAGAATCAGGAGGAGCAAGTTCTAAAGATGAGGATGAACGTCAGGATGTAGAAAAAATATTATTTTCTGTTGATAACTGAATATTAAAACTCTGATGTTGAGTAGATGTAGGTGGAATTAACAAAAGCTGGACTGACAGTAAGAGGGTTAGAATTTGTATTAGGATTAAACTGATTTACAGGAGGATTGTCATACTTGCCAAGTTCAGCTCCCCATTTTTTAAGATGTTGTACAGTAGGGGAGACCGGGGACAAAAGTAACATTTTTCACTTAACTATAAATTAAAAAAAAACTATTTGTAATTTTCAGATAAAACTATTTCTATTTGATAGAACAAGTTAATACCTTTCAAATGATATCATAATATCTTCATAAATTTAATTTAAACCTTAAGATATTTAAAAAACAAAAAAAAAATAAAAATGTTACTTTCGACCCCTTGCAAGTACCGAAAGTAACACGTATTGGGTACAAAAGTAACATGTATGGTAATAGTATAATAAAATTATTATAAACAAAATCAATTACATTAGCAATTTGGTACATATTATATTCAAACAAAATAAAAACAATACAATTGTTTAACTGAAAACTAAAACTTAAAAATATAAAATATTAATACCAGACTTGTGCTGAAGTAATGTATATCAATATAAAATATTCATAAACAAAAAATATATATAATGTACCTAATATTCAGTCTTGACGGTAAGAACTTATAAGAAAAGTCAACAAAACAATATATTTAAAATAAAATTATAGTAACCAACTTTCATGTGCTAGAACTTTCAATTAAGACACTGTATCCATTGTAAATTAATACAAAATATTATTCATAAACAACAAAAATAATTATATATAATAGGTAGTCAGTCTCGACAGTAAAAATTTGTAAGAAAATTAACAAAACAATATATTTAAAATCAAATTATATTAACCAACTTTCATGAGCCAGAACTTTCAATTAAGGCACTAACCATTTTAAATTAATACAAAATATTATTTTTATCAGTCCAAGTTTTTGGTACTTTTAAATTTAGTTTCAGAGAAAAATCAAAAGCTAATTTTCTAATAGCTATAGGAGATAGCCCAAAATACATGTCTGCTGAGTTTTTAATATAATCAGCAAGTTGATTTTCTTGAAATTTGTTGAACACTTTATTATGTGCTCGATATCCAAACTCTGGTTTAGGACCACTTTTATTTTGATAAAGTTTCAATTTTTTTATATATCTACTTAGACTGACATGGCAAATATTTAAGCTTGCAGCTACTGACCGTATAGACTGATTTTCTTGTAAACAAATGTCTACTGCTTTTCTCATTTCACTGTCTGCAATTGTTCCTCTCTGGGTCATTCTTTTACGTGTACGTGGCATGTCTGTAAGCTATATTAGCAAAATACTCAAATAAATGAAAATGAATTCATAAGAAAAACATAGTAAAATAATATAAGCTAATGTTACTTCAGACCCCACAAAATGTGTTACTTTCAACCCCATACAGACATTTTTTCTTATGTAGATTAAAAAAGTATTAAACATACCTGATTCAACGTTTCTGACACTTGCAAAAGAAAAAGGACAACTTTTGGCAGATGTAAATGTATTAAGTGTTCTTCTAGTATTAAAATTGAATTTTAAAAAAAAGAAACTGTTAACAATTTTATTATCACTTTTGTATGGCGATATCAGTTTTTGTTCTTTTTGTGATAAGAAGAATGGGACTACGACAATACAAATATGTGCAAATATGCCCCGTATAATGGTGCAAATGATACACTACATACTGGTTTTAAATAATTATCATGGAATAAGAAATTGAGTATGTTACTTTCGTCCCGTGTTACTTTTGTCCCCGGTCTCCCCTAATTTTTGCATAATTAGTTGAAAGCTTACTAACTTTACACCCCACTTGCTCACCAAAAATGTGGTACTCATTTCTATTATTTCGTTCGTTGAATAGTTTTTTCATTATAGAGTAAGCTTCATTTACCTATAGAGTAAATAATTATTTTTAAAGTCATTTAGTAGGTATAAAACAAAAAAAATTCTTATAACATTTAGTTGATGTTTTACTAATTTCTTACCATTGAATCATCTTTATTTTTTTTTCTTGACGGAATTTGAATTTCATCAGCAGATTGTTTTTGTCCACCACTAGTTTCATTACTAGATTCTCTAGTTGTCATTGACAAATCTTCAGAAATGATGGAACTATTATTAATATTTGAAATCACACTCTCTGTCTCAACATCAATAATTTCTTCAGTATCATTATTTTCGTTCAACTAAAATGCAAAAAAAAGTGGGTAAGTGGATTTTGCTCTGCTGTACAGTAGGTTTCAAGTGGTTACTGTGTAAAAGATGGTATTAAATTTGAATTCAATGATATAATATCATTGTATAAGAAAAACGATTCTGAGCGAAGACGGTCAATCAGCCTATAATATCTTAAATTTTAAATTTAATATATTTTGCCAAAATTCCAACCTTAAATGCTTATTAAAAAAAACTGATTTTGCGTAAAAATTCTCGTTTTTTCTTAATTTTTATTTTGTTTTTCCGTGCGCTTAGGAATACTATTGGGAGTTATAAACTTTGACCTCCCAAAAGTACCAACTAGATTCACTTTCCCGTTGAACAAGATACTAAAGTTGAAAATCGAAGCATTATTACGACTAATCGTCTAATCTGGTACTAATCGTGTACACAGACACAAAAATAAAAAAACACACATCATTGTAAAACCAATACATTCATTGCTTCACTGAGAGTCTAAAAATTAATAATTTATTTAGGTTATGAAAAGAAAAAATAAATAGTCATAAAGTAAAATTTAAATAAATGTGTAGTAGGTATTAAAGCCATTAATATTTATATTTTTAGTAGGCATTAATGTCTACAACTTAACATTTTAAGTGAAGTTACTTCGGACGTGTACCAGTTGCCCCCAAAAGTACCCTTTTTAATACAAATAAAGTAAAATAGTATAAAATTATAGAAACAAATTTTGATATTTGAAATTATGTATGATATTGTTTTTTGTAATAAATAATAAATATAATATATTACACAAATAATATGGATAAATTGAAAATTGTAGCCTAATTGGTGCAAGGCGAGGATTTTATTGTATTCATACCTATTTATTTTGTTAGCTATATATTTTAAAATATGAAATAATAGTGTTCGCTCCGCAAACAAATTTATATTCTCGCTTCCGCGCCAACAGCAATTCAGCTGGCTGTCTGGTGTGTGCATGTGTGTGTGTGATTCACGACAACGAATTGGGGAGTGCGCGTTTTGTCCCACCGTCAGATTGTGACATTGTGTTATCTTACTGATAGTGGCCATGTGCGTATTCCAACGGTCACATTTTCATATTATTATTTTTTCATGTACTATTCAATGTTTTTCGTAATTCATAAAGTTGTGTATCGCTTTCAGTGCCACCGAAAGTCTGTATTTCGTCGTATTAAATGTTTAAGGTGGTACTGATCGCATTTTCGTGAGTTATGCGTTTTTTCATTGGTCATTCAAATATTCATTCGTTTTCGTAAAAGCATCATATTCAACTCAATACGTTTCTTTTCTTTTTTTTTCCTTCTTTCGTTTTTTTGCCTCTCGAGCTGTTCGGTCGACGTCAACTGCCAGCCAGAGCACATTTTTCATTTCGTTAAAATTCATTCGTTTTTCGCTGAAGAAACATACATTCATCCAATACATATTCTATCATCTAGTACTCGTCTTCTGTGAATTTACTTCTGTAAGTATCGTTCAGTCATTTGATCTGTTCAATCTTTTAATATTATTCCCCTATTCAGGGCGTACCACAAGATACTTACAGAAGCACGTGAATTTTGTGTCGTTGTCAAGTACATGTGTTCAGTGATTTATTCGTTTGAATTGGTGGCTCGTTAGTCGTACGTTCTCGGGGTTGCCGCACATTTAATTATTATAATATTGTATTTTTTATTGTGCAAATGTGCGCATCCTGAGACGGTAGCGTTTGGTTTGAAGCCGCTAACGGACACCAGTTCTCCAGGTAATCAGCTGACGAGCTGTTTTAGTTTATTATTCAATATAATTATTATTTTTTTTTTTTGTGTGCTAATCAAGCACTTTAAGATTATTATTATTACTATATATTTATTCAGCTGGTGGGTGCCAAATAGGCATTCCACACTTGTTATTATTATTTATTTTATTGTACTAAACCAAAGTACCTAACATTATTAAAAATCAATAAATTCAATTATTTGTATCAATATCATTTGGATTATCTATATTAATTCCTTTTGTTAAGTTATAAGGTTGTTAGTGCAATATTTATATTTAACTAACGCCTAGTCGTGAAGGCACCCTTAACGTTTATTATTATATTTATTTTTGTTAAGAGCCGAACGCGACAAATAGTATAATATGTATATATTACGTAAAAATTACATATAATATATAATAATTACTTCTATATAAATAAACATTAGATGCGGTTCGTTGGTATATAAGCTCATTGTTTGAGGACGGTTCATTTTTATAATTGCCTCATTATAAAATAATTTAAAAAATTAAGTAAAAATTTAGAGCAAACTTCGTTTAATAATTTTCCCAGGGTGGCACGAAAAAGTTCGCTGGTTGCTACAGAGGTGAGAAATGAATTTAGGGAATAATTTTTATCAAGCGAAGGACGGGTATCCTGGCAGTATGCAAATACATATATGACTAATTATTTTTATGATTATTCAATTTTATTGCAAAAAAAATATTATTTATTATTTTAACGATCCGCGGTCTATCTATTTATTGAATATGATATTTGATTATATTGATTACAGTTAAATATTATTATGATTATACGCTAACATTATTTGTAAAATAAAAATAATAAGTACATACCTCTGTATTCACCGTAGTTCTCGGTTTGTTCCTATCTAACAGGAATTCCTTGCTCTTAAATGCAAACCATTTTCCATCATATGTCGAAGCCCCACTTCCAGATTTGGTATTTGCAATTTTTTCTTCTCTAACTCTCTTGGACTCTCTAGAAAAATGGCTTGTAAGGTTTTTAATCTTTCTTTCAACTTCGTTCTTCTCTACATTTAACGAATTGGCGATCTCGTTCCAAGCGTCGTGTCGTTTTTCTCGAAGTTTATACTCAGATAATTTACAATCCCATAACACAGGATGTAAACGATAGGATTCGATAAGTTGCAGAGTTTTATCTTGACTCCACTCCATGTTTGATATTTAAATGCAAATTAATTTACCTTAACACTAGGTATAAGTGTTTAACTGCGACTTAAGTTAACGAATAATGATCACCTTGCAAGTTGGGAGTTGCAATTAAGTCTAGGCAGTCTAGACGTCTCGTAGGTACATTAACGTTGTGATAGGTGACTTCCTGCTTATATTTACAATAATATGTCTATATTTGTTAATTTAAAAATAAAATTCAATATTGGACGGTCTTAATAATAATTTTAATTAAATATGAATAGTTCTACGAAAAGTTAGAAATAACATTTTATTCGAGTCTCTTGGGCACGAATCCTCGCAATAGCCAATATTGTAGTTATGTCTAAGTATTGACTTTCTTAGAATTAAAATACTTAAATTAGTCATTAAATAATATTATATACTATATTATAATATATTATACCTTTCACAAAATGTCCATTATAATCTTTCATAATTCATTATTAAGAAAAACATTTAGGTATGATTATAAATACAGGTATGGTATGGTACAGGTATGATTATAAATACAATAATTTTCAGTATCATTTTAAAAATGTAATAATCCATATTATGCTTATGATAGTAATAATAATAAATTTGTACTTCCCGGTTCATCAAGTCAGTCTGAGAACCTACGACTCGAAAAAAACTATTTTTCAAACAATATACATTAAACCAAAAATTTCAGTTAAAAAACTTTGAAATATTTGCAAAACACGTACCTCGGTAGATTTTCAAACAAATTAAATTATATTTAGATCAAAATTAATTATAGTAGTAACTATATTAAAAGATCAGTTTTTAATAATTAGGGAATATCATTTGAAATAAATCACAGTAGCATTTTGTATAAAAAATCATTATTTGGCTGATCGGCCAACGTCCCCACGCGGCTTTCTTTGATGTTTACCGATAACCGTCGGGAACCCGCGGCTTCGACCGATCGACTACAAAAGCCACACGGCGTCGCGTCCACACCAAAATATTGAAGCTGAGCGGCCAAGCCGCCCGCCAGTGGGGACGCACCTTAACACGGCCGCAATATTTCTTGTCTTTTATCGAACGCTGCCGCAGCAGTATTTAAGCTCTATTCACACTAGCGGTCTCGGTTCGGTCCGGTCACGGTCAAGTCACGGTCAAGGATTATGATGTAGAGTTCTCACTGCCGATCATATAGCAATCAATTTTATTTTATTTTTAGAAGTCTATATTTATATTTATTTATATTTTTATGTTTAATTAATAAATAATATTCTCTAGTAAGTAAGTCTAGTACTCGTATATACGTAGTCTGACAGTCTGGTGTTTCATTAAATCCTGTCGTGATGGCATTTTCAAAGTATAATTTGATGAAAATTGCATTGATTCTCGACGAAGAAGAAGAAATGAGACAAAATAAACGAAGTAGACGATTTTGGGTTCACCCATTGGTCCGGACACGCGAGGAAGAAGGAGAATATACAACACTTTATCCCCAGTTAGTGAATGATGATGTAAAATTTTACAAATATTTCCGTATGTCCCATGAAGAATACATGAATATACTGTCGAAAATTGAAATTGATTTGAGAAAAGTGGACACACAATTTCGGAAAGCTATTTCTCCCACAGAAAAACTATCTGTCTGCTTACGGTAAGCGAAATCCTAAATTTTTATATTTTCGTGTGTTTTTTAAAATGTTCTCTTGTAATCAAAGTATAACACTTATAATTAATTTTAGTTAAAATATAATATATAAAAAGACGAACATACTTTGCGTAATGAGTAGGATAATGAATGATTTTAGAACACCAAATAGCCATTTTCACAATTAAAGTCAAAGTATTTGAGTAAATGTGTTTAAATAGTAAATACTCTCTTAGTGTTTAGAATACTTTTTAAATACGTAATATAGTAGGTATATTATTTTAAATTTGAAACCAATTGAATACATTTCGGAAAAACGATTTTAGGCTAAAATTTATCTCAATAAATTGATCTCAACACTGATAATTACTCAAAAAAGTAATCATATACACACACATAGAAAAAGCACACGTCATTGTAAAACCAATAAGTTTTTCGTTTGACTCAAAATTTAGAACACAAATAATAATGTAAAAAAAAAAATATAACATATGAAAAAAAAATGAAGCATTTATTTTGGATCATAATAAATAATACACTTATTTTAAATTGATATAAACTTTTTAAATGACTAGTATTTTGATTACATTTTAATTGACATTAATTGTTCTATACATCTGGATTATAGTTACTAATGTAAGAATGAACACTATCAGCAGAAGAAGGTCGAGAGTAGGAAGTAGATGGGTTGCTTGTTTCTTCGTAATAAGGATTGATCTGGGGCCCAGTCGTATGTGAGGAAACAAATTGCTGTTGAGTGTTTGGTGTTAAATTGAAAACGTGTTCTTCAGTGGTCTGTGGAAATGATGTTAAACTATGGTGTCTGTATTGAGTTTTTTGTCCGTACCATTGCTGACTCTGAGGCTGTTCTTCACCAACATACTTTCCTTCTATATCACTTACAATGTTAAATACTTTCCGTTTCACTAACAACTTATCTGCATCACAAAATTTCTTAACTGTCCTTTTCATTGTATCAAAAAAAAGATCAATCTCATCTACTTCTTTTTGTTTTTTTTCTTCATTTATTAAATGCTTCATTAGAGTACTACTAGCCGTCTCTGGTTGGTATGTTTTTCTTTTCGTGCCCTGAGGAGATTTCCAGGCTCTATGGTTTTCATTTGTGGTTGGAGAGTCCATTTTTTTAAATGCAACATGAGGTGTTTGCTCGTTCGATTCCTGCAATATCTCTTCAGTATCATCTATTGTGTCTTCTAAACTTACAATGGAAGATATTCTTTCTTTATCTTTCATGTGGGGATGAAGAAATTGCATTTGTTCGCTATACTTCCAAGTGGGTTGCGACCCACCGGGATCACCTGTTTTAGGCTTTTGGTTGCGCAAATACTTCCTGTATTGAGAGCGTAGAGATTCCCAACGTTGCTTGCATTTTGCGGCATCTAGAACGACCAATTAATGATTGATAAAAAATGTAAACCAAAATAAATAAAAATTAATATTGTCTAGTGGTTCTTTTAATACAGAAAACGGAGAGCATAATATGTCAGATTAGATTTTCTTATTAAATACCTAATATATTTATATTTAATATTTATAGGTATTAGTTAGTAATCGTATAGTTTAAGCCTTAAAGTTAACTAAAATTTTGTAATATTATATTATTTTAATAAAATTATGTTAAATTATAGTGTACATAGACACAAAAAAACACACATCATTGTAAAGTCAATACATTTATCATTTCTCGTTCAAAATCTAAAAAATATTTTTATAAAATAATTTTTTTCAGATACCTAGGAACTGGTGATTCTTTTCAGACAATTGCATTTAGTTTTCGTATGGGCCATTCAACAGTTCATTCAATTGTTCACGATGTATGTAAATCAATAATTAAACAATTATTTGCTCAATGCATTCCAACACCTGACAAAAAGCAGTGGGAAGAAATTGCTAATAGATTTTCGTCCTTATGGAATTTCCCGAATTGCATTGGGGCCTTGGACGGTAAACACGTTCAAATAACTGCTCCTGCGAATAGTGGGTCTAACTATTTCAACTACAAAAGAACATTTTCTGTAGTTCTACTGGCACTTGTAGATGCTGATTATAGATTTATTGCTGTGGACATAGGGTCTTATGGGAAAAACAGCGATGGAGGTATTTTCTCTAATTCAAAACTAGGGAATGCTTTAAACAATGGTACTTTGGATGTTCCTGGAAGTAAACAACTGCCTGGGTCCCATATTTCTACGCCACATGTTATTATCGCAGATTCGGCTTTCCCACTCAAAACATATATGATGAGACCATACCCTCAATATCGACATGATTTAACCGTAGATAGAAAAATGTATAATTACAGACATTGCCGCGGCCGACGCGTTGTTGAAAATGGTTTTGGCATTTTGGCCCAACGGTTTCGAATTTATTTTAAAACAATAACTTCCAAACCTGGTTACATAGAAAACATAATTCTAGTAACCTGTATTTTGCACAATTATTTACGGAATAATAGAATGTCATTAATAGAAAATAATTCTCATGGTGAGCTAGATCAAACTACCATTTTGAATGATTTACCATCTATTGGTATTAATGCCCAAACTGCAGCATTCAATGTAAGAGAAAAGTTTACGAACTATTTTAACTCAAATGAAGGATCAGTACCCTGGCAATACGGATGCATTTGAAAATAAAAGTGTATTTACATAATGTATGTATCATTAAGAACTTAAGAAATAATATTCGATTCGGTTTTTTATATTTTTTTTATAAATTGTTACTATTGTTACTACTTAATTGTTATATTACCACTATTTAAAAAAATCAAAAATCTATGTTTTTTTTATAAGCGTAGAAAGTTAGTAAAAACTTAATAATATACTTTATAACATGTACTCTCTAAAATCGATTTTGTAATTATGCTTTCGAGACTTTGGATGTATAGTGTATATTATATTATGCATTAATTAAAATATCAATTTATAATAAATCAAATCTAAATAGCTTACTCGCCTTGTTGTAGTTTTTCCCCAATTTCTTTCCATAAATTGAATTTATAAGTTGCATCACAATACTTTTTATGTGAAAAGTCATATAAAACATTATTCTCACGTACAAATTCAATTAGAATTTCGTCGTCCATTTCACAAATTTTACAAGAAATAGAAATAAAAAATATGACCGTGATTAGCGCGGTTTCAATTCAGACTAGGCGGTCTCGACCAGAAATCTCGTGACTGCCGCGGTCTGGATCGTGCATCGACCGGTCGAGATTTGATCGGACCTGACCGTGACTTGACCGTGACCGATAGTGTGTACGATTCCGTTGGATTACGTACTACCGATGTTGACCTGACCGTGACTTGACCGTGACCGGACCGAACCGAGACCGCTAGTGTGAATAGAGCTTAAAACTGAGCCGCGACGTCGACGGTCAACTCCATTTGTCGAAATAATATTATATATCTATATTATTATTAAAAATAGCACCGCTGCGTTCTTCGACATCGGCGTCGCCGTCGCCGTCGCCGTCGTCGTCAATCGTCATTCGGGAAAAAATAATTAATACACACTAAAAATAGCTACGCAAAATCCAAATATACCAACATTGATTAATGATTATAAATAGTATTAAATACGAGTAGTATTTTAGTATTTATAATCAATAAATAATGATACCAATGAAATCACGAGATCCTACTAAACATAGTAAATAATAAATATTCACATATTATAAAAGTCGAAACCGTGCATCGAAAACCGATGATATAATAGTTAATAGTTTAATACACCCATAAAAATCCACATAACATTTGTCGACTATGTGTTGACCGTGGCTCTCAACGTTTCAAAAAATGTTTTTAATTTAAATAATATTTTATACTACATAATGGTTATGATAAATTGGCCCATGAAAAAGCCAAGGGGGGGGGGCAGATGCCCCTACTTGCCCCCCCCTGCGGACGCCCTTGTGTGTAGGTAGGTCAAGCGATATACAGGTGTCAACGTTATTATACCTAAGTCATTAAATGAAAATGAACAATTTTGTGAAAAAAATAGCTTTGAACGTTAATTTTTCGTTTATTAATTTAATAATTAAATACATTTACATGTAATTACTTTTTTAGTATAGTTTAACAGGGACGGATTGGCAGAATTTTTCGGCCCGGGAAAATTATTTAGACCGGCCCTCTTCACTATAATATCTAATGTTTTACATACTATTACTCGTGTTATTATAGATGGTTCAACACCCCCTCCCCCCCCCCCACCATATAAAGTTTTAAAAACTACAATTTTGTTTACTGACTTATATTTATTAAAATAAAATTTGCACATACATAATATAACAAAATAATTTAATATGAGAGCTCTTTATTGAGTAATGCACTTTTTTTTAAAACTTATTAATGATATTTTCTGTGTCAATATAATTTAACATTTTTTTCTCTACTGCCATTAGCATAAAATCTTCTAAATATGAATCAGATAATGTGCTTCTCAATCTTGTCTTAATACATTTAAGTATAGTGAATGATCTCTCACAAGCTACCTATAACAAAGAAAAGAATAATCTTATAATATTTTATGTTAAACCTTCAGGAAAAATGATCTTACTTGTGTCGTTGGCAAAGTAAGTAAAAATTTGTAAGCTAAAGTCAGTGTGCTATAAGCATTACTATGAAGATTATATTTCATAAGTAGTGTATAACAACAGATAGCACAATTCTTACAGGTTGACAGTGTTGTGCAATTATTGTATTTCTTTAAATTGTCTTCGTCATCATCATCATCATTATCTTAATCATCAATGTGATTCAAGGTATAGGACTCTGAAATGTTTATTTTTAATGACTCCCAGTTATTAGAAAAATGTATTAATTTTGTTCTTAATTTATCAGCAGTAACTTCTGAATCAAAATTTTATTAATTTTGAGACGAGAACATCAAGAGATTCAGCTGGAAGACCATTTTTAATGTCATTAAAGTTGCTTGGAGATAGACAAGATAAATCCGCATATATTTTTGAATTTGACAAAAATCGTTTTTCAAAACTATTTATTACACCATCTATGACAACATTGTAAACTTCAACAACAAAATTCTTATATGAATCAATTATTGGCTCATCTTCTGCTCTATCATCGAATTGCATTTTCTTTTTTCTTAACCTTAATGTGGGTAATTTGCTTTCAATAATAAAGTCAATATCGCTATTTTCTTCTTGGTTTTTTCGTCCAATTTGATATTTGCTGTGTTAATAAAATTATCAACACACTTTTTTAGGCCAGCTTCATCTCTCCTTAATAATTTTAATTGTTTTACTGTGTTTTCAACCATAACGTATGCTTTTTGAATATCCATACCCGATATCTACAAATATTTTGACAGTGGAGTTGTTATTTCAAATATTCTCATGTACAAAAATGCAGTCAATAATGTTGAGTACTTTAACAATGATTCCTTAAAATGTGTGGCTTTAGATCTTACATCTGGAGTAAATTGAACTGAATCCTCAATAGCATGTAGTGAAATTAAGACTTCAACATATAAAGCATTCTGTGAATTATTCGGTGTTCCAAATATTCTTCGAAGAGACAAGTCTTTGGACCACCATCTAGTGTCACCTATAGTTCGTAGCCTTTTTTTTTATTATCTTGATTGTTAATCATCCAAACATTCATACGTTTATGGGACTCCTTAAAAAAAACATCCAAACTGTTCATTAAACTAAACACAGTTGCTGCAGATATTGGTGTTTTCGTAACATCTGATATAACCAAGTTCAAAACATGGCTATAACACCAGACGTGCATTTGCCCAGGTGAAGCTTTACCTAACCATGACGAAAACCCATTGTACTGACCTTGCATGGAGGCCGCCCCATCTGTGGCGTTAGCCATACAGTTTTCGATGTTTAAATTATTATTGTATAGAACTTAAGAGTTCAAAAATACCTTTTCCAGAACTGTCTATACAATTAACTACAGCAATTAGTCGTTAATGAATACCATTTTTATTGACGTACCTTATTACGACTGAACATTGATCCTTGACAGAAATATCTTGAGTGGTATCAAGTTCAACAGCAAACATTCCTTGCTTCTTGTACTTCTTGTGCAATTCATGTCTTAATTTCTTGGCCTATACACTCAATAACCATATTAATCGTTGTTTTTGATATTAGTGTAAACAGTCCACCACGATTTTTGTTTCCAGAATCATGAGACACTTTACTCTTTTTAATAAGGAAATCTAAGTGCTCATTTAGAACAACATCATATTTTTTTAATAATAGAATGATTTCTAAAAAATTACCATGATCTAAAGAAAGGTCTTCAAGAGTATAAGCTGCTTCATTTTTATTACCACGATAACTTAGCCCTCGCTTCAATATAAGCTTGACAACATCAATCACCCGTTCTAGAACTTGTCTGTTTTTCTTTATCATTTCCTTTCTTTTATTCATCTGATTAGAAAAAAGTGAAAATTCTATATTTTTTTTATTGTGGTTCAAAAATAAATAGTATTACCTCAATACTTGTATTATGAATTTGACTGTTTTCATGTTCATTTATGCGTTGATGAACATGCGTCCATGTTGACATTACCGACATAAAAGTATTATTTTCATTACTAAAAGCCGAACATACAGTACAAAAAAGTGCTTCCCAATTATATGACAGCCAGAAACGTTGTGTTTTATCATCTTTAAAAAAAACCTTTTTTGAAACAAATGGATTTTGTATGCCTGGTTGGCGAGGGTGGAACTCAATAAAGCTATCCAAAACAAGGACTCCAGGTTTTTTAAACATTGATAAATCCAATTCTTTTTTGCCTATGTTTTCCTAAAATTTTAACATAAATATTTATATTTCAATAAATAAAATATTGAGTTAAAAAAAAGCAATTTTAATACACATTATCATTTAGGTATATGATGCAAAAAAAAGTAAAAGTTTTATCTTTGTTATTAGGTACTATTATTTTTTTGTTAATTTGTTATTCCTATCTAAAATAAAAGCATGAAACATATAAAATATAAAAAAACATGAAATACTTACAAGTCACAAAGAAAAGTTGGGTTATACTATAGCTGTCAGTAGGCGTTTCTTGATCTTTAGTGAACAGCAACAAATCATAATACCACAGTGTTGGTGTATAAATAGAATCTAGAGAAGAGCCACTACGTTGGCTTTCCAACACTTTTTTCATTTCTTTTCTAAAGTAAATTATAATATTTTAAATATAAGTATTATTCACTAATAAAAAATTAATAATAAAATACGAAATTTGATGGTTTTGAAATAGATTTTTTTCAAAACATTTTTTAAAAATCAAACATTTTCAATTTTGATATTTTGGAAAAATTAAAAGTAAAATATATTTGTTTTGCTAACGGGTTCCCCAGAAATCGTAATCGAATAATATTATCATAGAGTAACTATAGAGAAAAAGGGCATAAATGCAGTTTAGCTCCCAAGCGATTTTTTAGAATTTTTTTTTTTCAAAATGTGTAAACACACAAAAACTTGTTAATTAACAAAAATATTTTAGAAAATCCATTGTAACAAGTAGGTATTTTACCTGAAAGAACCACGCAAACTTTGGATTTTTTTCACTACAAAATCTCTGTTGACGTCAGGAAAAACTGGCTTACACATATTAACTAGCTGGTCGTACGCTTCATTACGTAAATGTTTGTTGCTGTATTCTTTAAATTTACTTTTCCATAGACATGGAAATGTTCTATACATTCTTAAAAACTCTATCAAGAACTCTTTAGTCCAACATCGAACATCAGACATAATAAAGGTTTCTTCAGTACCTACTTGCTAGTTGCTACCTATTAGGTATTACACCTATATTATTTATTTTTAATGTATATTAATTGAATAATTATAATAAATATATATATATTATATATTAAATTATATGTACTGTACTTACTTAAAAAATATTGTTTTGAAAAATGGCGGTATTATTGAATATTTCGGTAGTGATTGAATGGCGCGTCGTCACAAAATACAAATAAAAATGATTAAACGATTAACCACGCGCAAGAATGTGCATAAACATTTCAAGTTTTGAACACGTTCAATCCTGCAAGACGTTCACTCGGGCGAATCGTTTAGACGAAAACTCTTTCCCGCGTGAAAGCCCTCGCGCCATTCAATCGTGCAGTCAAAACTCAACGTGTAAAGGCCGCTTAAGTCTGAACTCAAACATTGCAGGTTATCTGTAGCGATACGGCTGTAATGAGACGGTTGTCGAGGTAAACTATTTATGTGTTGTCTAATTAAATCTCTTACAGGGGCATCAATAGCATGAGGTATATTTAAATGTTTTCCACGGTTATCCCTAGGCGTCATAATACCTAATTTAATTTTATCTTGTAGCGTCATAACACGTCTTCTCGTACGTAATACAAAACGTATTTAAAAGAGTATTTTTGCATACCTGTAAATCATCTATGTAATATTTAAATGATCAAAATCGTCGTGATGTAGCATCTGTTTTTCCTGGTCGTCTTCTCACAGGAGCATTTACTTTTATACACTTATACAAAAAAGCTGATTGTTCATCATACGTTAACTTATAAAATTCGTCAAATAATAAAAGTTTTCTTGCTAAAGTCATTGTTGCACAACCTTGCCAAGGACATGAACTCTGGTCACAAACTTGGTCCTAAAATTTTTAAAAATGTGTATAAAATATTTTTCAACATTATGTTTATTTTACTACATTCATAACATTTTTACTAACCAAGGTTGGAGGTGTTGTAGCTGGTACAAGTTTTTTACATTTTTCCAATCTGTCAAATTGATTTTCCGTTTTCGTCCATCACTTAAACGGTTAACATCACTAGTAGATAAATTATTTAGACTTGTCATAGTTAAATTGGTAACGCAATCATGATATTTGCACGTCTCGCGTCGCGTTGACTTACTGTGAATAGTAAACGCTTAACGCACATAGCACGTTTTAATAGTCAACTAATCGCCGGTTTCGAAGTATATACACGATGATTGTGTACGATAAAAACATTCTGGGAATTTTTCGATTCTTAAAATATATCGAGATTGCTTCATAGCATTATTCCGCAAAATAATGATAATTGAAAAAACTGTTACATAGCACGTTATTCCCGCCCACCCTTCAATTATTCTTTTTTGTTTTTAAATTTGAATTATTCTAAAATATATTTTATTATATTTTAGTGTTTCAAAAATGAGGTCCTATCTAAATGTTGGTGAAATTTGTAATGTATTATCTGAAGAAATCCCGTCCGATGATAATAGTATAACTTCTTCTAATGATTCTGATAATGATGATGATTATATACCACCTTCTGGTGAATTAAAAACGAAGCCTATTCTATATTTGGAATCTACTGACGATGAAAGTGACGATAAAAATTCAGAAATTTTAAACTTAGACGATAGAAATATTATTAATTGTTAATTATTAACATAATTGAATAACGAAAATGTGTCGCTGAATTTTGATTTTGACTTTTTACCTAGTACATCTTCAGATCTAAATAATGATAATCAGTCCAACTCTGAATCTACACCATTACGTATTGTAAATATTGAAAGAGTTGACACCGAGATTGAAACTCAACCGACTGAGCAAGATGATTTTCAATTTATACCTCCAACGTGGTAAAAAAAAATGATTATTATTTTTGATTATTCTCCATTTACAAGTCCAGAAGGCCCTACAAGATTAATAAATGATTTATCAATGTGTACACCGACAACCATTTTTAAATGTTTATTTACTAAAAAAATCGTTGACCAAATAGTCGATCATACTAATTTATATGCATTTCAAAAACGATTGAAAATAGGAAAAGCTTTCATGCGAACAAATATGTCTGAAATAAAATGTTTTATTGGAATGCAACTTCTAATGGGTATCAAGAAGCAATGCAGTTATAGAGACTATTGGTCATCATCTCCCGATTTGCATGATTCATATATAAGTTGTTTAATGCCTGTAAATCGCTTCGGTTGGTTATTATCGTACATACATTTAAATGATAATTCGCTTATTCCGAAAAAAATCAACCTGGGTATGATAAATTATTCAAAATTAGGCCGTTTATACAGACTCTTTTAAATAACTTTCAAAGGGCATATAATTCTTCCAAAATAATTGCAATTGACGAAAGTATGGTCAAATTCACAGGTCGAAATTCTAACAAACAATATATGCCAAAAAACCGATAAAGAGGGGATTTAAAATTTGGTGTTTGGTTGACAAGCAAGGATATTTATGGAATTTTGAAATTTATACTGGAAAAGTTGGCGAAAAGGCTGAAAAACAATTGGGTGCTCGAGTAGTTAAACAACTATCGTAAACTTTACAAAAAAAAAAAATCATTGTTTATTCTTCGACAACTATTTTACCAGCTACCCACTAATGACATATCTAAAATCAATCAATATAAATGCATGTGGAACAGTCAATCTTACAAGAAAATGTTTACCAGCTTTGAAAAATGATAAGCATTTAACATTGGGAGAATACGATTGGTCTATAGATGACAAATCTACATCGATTGTTAAGTGGCGTGACAAAAGAATAGTGAGGTTGTTGTCAAATTTTCATAATCCAATGGAAACCACACAAGTTCAAAGACGATCTCAAGATGGAACAACTACAATGGTATCATGTCCTATAGTATTGAGTGAATACATCAAACATATGAATTGCGTAGATAAATTTGACCAGACAAAGAAATCCTGTCAGATAGATCGAAAAGCTAAAAAATGGTAGCACAGACTTTTTTTCCATTTTATCGATGCAGCAGTAGTCAACTCTCACGTTCTATATAAGTTACAATCAGGTAAAAATATAGTTATCTTTGTTTATTTGCAAATTATTGTTATAGGTTTTATTTGTTATCATTTTATAAAACACTTTGTTTAACATTTAGATATGAATATAACGATGAAGAATTTTCGTCGTGAAATATCTAACGATTTGGTTTCAAAAACGTTGGTCGAAAAGCGATCTATTCAAAACGTTTCAAAAATACAAACAGTAGCTGTAAAAAAACATAAGCCACATGTAAATTCTATGATTATATTTGAACAAGCCGCTCATCAACCGAAGAGGGGAACAAGGAGGAGATGTGCAGGATGCAGTACTAAAGAAAAGGAAATTAGAACGGAATGGGTATGTTCAGTATGCACTATTCCTCTGTGTTCAGCAAAACAAAAAAAATTGTTTTGCATTATATCATAGTTCAGTATAATAGCACATTTTTCTTGTTTTTAATTTTTTTAAATTAAGTTATTAATGTAATTTTAATTTCATGTTATAATATATGTAGAACAGGCATGTCAAACACGCGGCTTATTTTTGTGTGGCCCTCGGCTGCCAATATTAATGGAAAAAATATTTATTTATTTTTAATAATATTATTTGTGTCACGACTGGTCAGAATGTCAGAATGGTTTATTTGGTATACATTATTGTACTGTCTTATCTTCTGTTAAACTATTATCGAATAGGGATTATTGATGGTTTATATATATTTATATCTATATACATAATAGATTAATAAATTACACCGTCAGTTTGCGACACGCGTGCCTCTTCCACTGTTCACATCTTTACGACTAGTCGTTCGATAACCACCGTGTGTTCGAGTTTAAATTTTGTTACGTGTATTCTACTGTAAATTTAATCTTTAAAAATGTCTCTATCAAAACCAAGTGGTAGTAATAAACGAAAAATTACAGATGAACATCGTCAGTTTCAAGAAAATTGGGAATTACAATATATTTGCAGTGAAATCAATAATAAAATACTTTGCTTAATATGTAAAAGTGTTATTAGTGTTCCAAAGTTGTACAACATTAAGCGACATTATGAACAATATAAGTCAAAATACGACCAGTATGAAGGGTTATTGAGGGAAGAAAAACTGAAAGAGTTTATATGCGGGTATAAAAAACAACAGATAATGTTTACTAAAATACCACAAGAAAATGAAGCTGCAGTAAAGGTTAGTTACGTGTTATCAGAGTTAATTGCCAAACATTCGAAACCGTTCACTGAAAGTGATTTTATAAAAACGTGTTTGATTAAAACTGCTGAAATTATTTGTCCCGGAAATCTAAAAGCTTTTCAAAACATTTCATTAACACGAAATACGGTTGCTGAAAGAATAACTGAACTAGCTTGCAATTTGAATAATCAAATTAAAATTAAAATACCTACATTTGAGTATTTTTCAATCGCTTGTGATGAAAGTACCGATATTGGTGGCACAGCTCAGTTAGCTGTGTTTTTTCGTGCTTGCGATATGGAATTTAATATTTTTGAAGAGTTATTGGATATTATACCTATGTTTGATACTACTACAGGAGAGGATGTATTCGTTTCTGTTTTTGAACTCTTGAAAAAATATGATTTACCTTTGGAAAAGTTGTCATCTGTAGCTACAGATGGAGCTCCTTCTATGACGGGGAAAAATAAAGGATTCGTTGAAAGGTTGCAAAAAAAATCGAATGAATATGTTGAGCATAAATTTCATAGAACACATTGTATTATACATCAAGAGGTGTTATGTACAAAAGTTATTAATGTGGCACATGTTATAAGACCTGTAAAACAAATGGTCAATTTTAAAGGATCCCGTGGTTTGAACCAAAGACAATTTTCGATTTTTTTAAACGATTTAGAAAGCGAGTATTCAGGTTTACCATACTTTACAGAAGTACGATGGTTATCGTGTTCCACTGTATTGGAAAGATTCTGGAAGTTAAGAGATACCATACAAATATTTTTAGAGTCTAAAGAACAAGACGTCAGCGTTTTATCGGATCCAATGTGGTTACAAGACCTATCCTTTATGGTCGATATAACAAAGCATTTATCGAATTTAAATTTAAAATTACAAGGGAAAAATCAAATTATAACAGCCATTAATGACCATGTTAAGGCTTTCAAAATATGTAAATTAGATCTATTTAAAACACAATTACAAAACGAAGACTTAACGCATTTCCCAGCATGCATGACGTATACAAAAATTAATAATGATCCAATTTCCTATAAAAAATATTCAGAAAAAATTATGTGTTTGAAGACTGAATTCGAAAATAGGTTTCAAGATTTCCAATATTTAGAAAATGATTTTGCCTTATTTACCTCTCCTTTTTCAATAGACGCAGTAAATGTTTCAACACATATACAAATGGAACTGATCGAGATTCAAAATGATTCAAATTTAAAAAATAAATTCAATGATGTTGGTGTTCCTGATTTTTACAGTTTTGTGCCAACACGATATGTAGAAATTCGTAGATTTGCTAGTAAAATTATTTCTATGTTTAGTAGTACTTATCAATGCGAGCAACTTTTTTCATTAATGAACAGTAATAAATCACCCGTTAGATCCAGATTAAACGACACACATCTAAATGCAGTATTAAAAGTGGCTTCGACAAATAATATTTCTCCCGAAATTGAAAAGTTGGTGGGAGAAAAAAGATGTCAAATATTGTCTAAAAAGAATTATTAATATGTTTTTTTTGTAATTTATACAACACCTATTTTCATAAATAATTAATAGGTATGATTTATATTTTATTTAAATGTTAATGTTAATTTTTTTTTCATTTTTTAATTTAGTTGTAATCAGGGCATGGATCGTAAATAACGTACAAAGGAATTTTTTTTTTGAAATGCAAGCCATGGTTGTAATATTGCTGTATTCGTGAACATATAAAGAATAAAATTGAAAAATTTGTACAAAACATTTATTTTTTCGTTAAATTTTCATGTGCGGCCCGCGTAGTAAACTATTCAATATATTTGGCTCACTTGATACTTTGAGTTTGACATGCCTGGCGTAGAAGGTGTAACGCGTCTTAAAATGTATAATAATTTGTGGAATATATTTTTTATATTAATGTAAGGACACAAATATACTATGTATTTTCCTGAAAGATACGATCCCTTTTTTTTTTGTAATACTTATATTTTACATGACAATATCTCGAAATTATGCGTATAAATATATTATACAATACATTTATTACATAATTGTATTTAAATAATATAGGTATTCAATAAATATATTATAGTAAAAAAAATTTTCATGATATTTGTGTACTTTGGTAGTATATCATATACAATAATTATACACTTCATGCACGGTGGGACATACGTCATCCTACCTACAATTAATTTCTAAAAAAAAATCAAAAATTTTTTTTTAACACCAAAGTCTTATTATTTATTTGAACAATAATTTATTTTACCACTTAATTTATGATTTTTCTAAAAAAAATTCTTCTGTGCAAAATAGGTCAAAATAATTATAAACCACCGTGCATGAAAGAGTTAAATGAATACAACCATTTTTAACTTTTATAAATACCATTTATAAAAATAAATTTATTTTATTTTTTATTCAAAATTAAAATCATGCCTTGTTTTCCCATTCTTCAAATTTTTATTATAATTATAAATAAGATTCAATTTTTTTTCCGAACTTGTGTTATAAAATGATATTATTTTTTCTGTAAATTCATTTGTATATCTATCAGGTAAACATAACATAAATTCATTGTTTATTAACACAGCCAATCTTTTTCCAAACTTTGCATCAATCTTTATGAAACTATTTACTTTGTATGATTTTCCTTGTTCCAAATCATTAAATTTTATAAATGTATGTCAATTGTTGATTTTATTTAAACCATCTTTAAAATTTCCCATTTCCAATTCTTATTTATATTAGTAAATATAATTTTTTTTTTTTCAATAATATTTTTGAAAAATTTTCTATTTAATATAAATAAGCAATGAGCAATGAATTATTACAAACTATATATTGTCATATATATAAAATTCAAACAAAAAATATAAATGCAACTAAAATTCAAACAGTAACGGTAGATGGAGAATTTTATCAAAATGTTTCATCTGTAAAACAAATAAAACTAAATTTATAAAAAATCCTGTAATGAAACATAATATTCCCAATAAATCAATAATTTCATATAAAAAATTAAATAATACAGATAAAATGGTATTAGCTAAAGAACTTCATAAACCTGTTAGAATAAGATTTCCTAAAAGAAGAATTTTTACTAAATGTATTGATGATTTATGGGCTGTTGATTTAGTTATAATGAGAAATTATTCAGATGAAAATGGGGGTAGTTCTTATATAATAACTGTTATAGATACATTTTCAAAACGTTCTTGGGCTTTACCACTCAAAAAGAAAGATGGAATTAGTGTTTCAAAAGCATTTGAAAAAATAATTAAACAAGCTGAATCACAAAATCATCATGCGCCAAAATTACATCACATAGATAAAGGTTAGAAATTTGAAAATAAACATTTTAAAAAAGTTTTGCAAGACTGTGGAATTAAAATGTATCACACACAAAATGAAGAAAAAATAGTCAATTATTGAAAGATTTGATAGAACATTAAATAGGAAAATGAGATTACATTTGGAAGTTACAAATTCTAAAAAATGGATAAATATTTTACAAACTTTATTAGATGAATATAATTTCAAAGATATACATCGATCTATTGGTATGAAACCTTGTGAAGTAAATAAATCTAACGAAGACGATGTTCTACACAAATTATTTTCTACAAAAAACAAACCAAAACCAAAAATTAAATTTAGTGTAGGTGATAGAGTAAGAATAAAAGCTTATAAAAAAACATTTGGTTATAAATATAGTAATAATTGGACAAAAGAAATATTTATACTTAATAACATTTTAAACACAAAGCCTATTAAATATAAAATAATAGATTTAAACAATGAAGAGATTGAAGGGAGTTTTTATAATGAAGAGTTACAAAAAACAAAATTTTAAATAATATTTTTAATAGAAATTATTCTATTAAAAAATTGAATGTAAAAAAAAAATAATATTCTCTATAATAAAGAATGGATGGATTAAATAAAATTGAACCTATAGTTAAAGAAATTAATATCTACAGTAAAATGGAAGTATTAAATAAAAAAATATATCCTGCTAAAACTTGTGATAAATGTAATACAACAGTTGGTTGTAAAAATTGGGCTGCTCATTTGAAATCTATTCTAGGGGCGTCATTTGGGGGATTCAGGCTATACATTGGCAGCCCTATTTTTTTAAATGTTTGGTTGGCCCGTATAAAATGTTATAATTGCGCCGTCGCGCGTCGCGTCGTCGAATCTGGTGTATACTTAATAGTTAATAATATTATCTATTATTTTTATTTTTATGTTGGTGACAATGATTAGGCAATGAATATTATTAAATATATCTTTTTTTATTTATATGAAATTGGTTAAATATGTTTGAAAAAAAAGTAATAATGAGTATTTGAATATTAAAATGTGGGGATATGAGTGAGCGAAGCGATCGGAAATTTTTTTAAGTTCCGCTAAATAAACAGGATATATAAATGGCCTGGTGGAGGGAACAATTGGCCTGATTCAAATGTTTGCATCCCTATTGAAAAGTTGAAATAACGCCCCTGATCTATTTATCATCAAAAAAATGTTATAGATCAAACAATTGTACCTTATAGATTTAATAAAACATACAAAGGTGTACTAATTAATCAAAATAGAAATAAATAAATAAATTTAATTTTTTGAAGTTGATGCAAAATGATATAAAAAAAGTATAAAAATAAATAAATGTTATGTGGAATTTTGTGCTTTAGAATATTATGAAAATTCTGAGAATGTTAAATATAATCTACGTAAAATTCCAATTAATGGAAATATTTTTGTTATTGATAAAGAAAATAAAAGTCCTTATATTTCTGAAGTATTATACTCACCAACTTGGTTAGAACTTTGTAAAATAGCTAATGATCAAATTATTACAACAGGTGATTATAAACATCATTATCTAGAGGATATTGTTGTTCAAGATTTAGGAAATATTCTAATGTGTTAATTTATTATGGGATCTTAGTTAAAGGAAGTGATTTCTATAATGTAGGAGACATTGTGTCATATATTTATTTAATTTATATAGTATATTTTTAATAGAAATATTCTATTAAAAAATTGAATGTAAAAATAAATAATATTTTCTATTATAAAGAATTTACGGATTAAATAAAATTGATTCTTTAGTCAAAGGAAATGTTATAAATAATAAAATGGACAAAAAACATATCCTAACAAAAATTGTGTTAAATGTAACTTAACAATTAGTTACAAAAATTGGTCTAGACATTTGAAATCTATTCGTCATCAAGAAAATGATTGAGATCAAACAATCAAACCTAAATTTAATAAAACATATAAAGGTATATCAACAAAACAAATAAGAACACAAAAAGGGAGAATAATGAAAACAAAATAAGAAAGAATACCAAAATCAAAAAAAGAAAGAATACCAAAAACACATAAAGTTTTCAATTTTTATGAAAAACTGTTTGAAAAGAACAAAACAAAACAATTCGACCTATTTTAAAAACTGATGAAACAGCATTTCAAAGTAGATTAATAACTTATATTATTAAAAATAACATGGGTATTAAAGAATTACAACTGTTTTTAAATCGTTTAGATAAACCTGAAATTGGAGTAATCAAACAAGCTTTAACAAAGAAAAATGTAAAAGTAAATATTATGTTTTTTGCTATGTATAAGAGAGGTAATGATGAAGAAAATATGGAATGCATATAAAGAATGTAATTTTAAAACACAAATTAAAATTTTAACAAAAAATTCTATTTTAAGTGATTTTTATACAAATGCAAAAATGTAAATTTTAAATGAAATCGAAGAATTTGTAATGAAAAATTCTCAATGGAGACTTCATCAAATTTTATGTTTGGGAATAAACATAAATGAAAACAATCCTTTTAAAAGTTCTTCATATATTCCATTACCTGAAGATATTTAAAATAAACATGCTATTATAAATGTTCAAAATACAGATGATAAATGTTTTCTTTGGGCAATACACTCTGCTTTACATCCTGTTGAAAAAGATGCACAAAGAGTTTCTAAACATAAAAATTGGGAAAATAAATTTGAGAATGAACTGAAGGATATTGAATTTCCAGTAAAAACCACAGACGTTCCAAAATTTTTTAAAAGAATAAAGGATATTTCTATTAATATATACTGTCTAGAACAAAAAGGAAAATATAAACATATATTTTTACCATTAGTAATAACTAAAAATGAAAAAACTAATCATATAGATTTGTTATATCTTAAAACAGAGAATAAAGAACATTATTGTTGGATTAAAGATTTATGGAAACTTGTAGGAAAACAACAAACTAAAGATGGACATAAAAGATTTTTATGTAAAATGTGTTTAAATAGTTTTGATACAGAAAATAAGTAAAATGACCATAAACATTATTGTGGTAATAATAAACCCGCTAAAATAATTCTACCGACTTATAATGAAACTTTATAATTTCAGAAGCATAATAATTCGTTAAGAATACCTTTTGTTATTATTGCTGACATTGAATGTACACTCAAACCAAAATATAGTTGTCAACCAAATGATACAAAGGCTTTTACAAGATGCTATCAGGAACATGAACCTAATAATTTTTGTTATTATATTAAATATAGTAATGGTGATTATAAACCTCCTGTAGAATATTGTGGTCCAAACATAGCTAAAAATTTTTTTGAATGTATGATAAATGAAGAAATACTTATTTCTGAAATATATGCTAAAATAGTTCCTATGGGAACATTGAATGTAGAACAATTAAATGATAATTAAAATAAATCTGATAAATGTCATATTTGTGAAAGATAAATTTTTTTTAAAAACAACACATCAATATTATACTCAGTGCCAAATTTTAATGTATTGCACTGGTATAAGTCATTGTGATTTATTGGTGTACAATAAGATAGACCCACTAGTGATTACAATTGAGAAGAATATTTTATTTTTACAAACCATTTTAAAAAGACTGGAATATTTTTATTTTCATTTTTTCTTACCAAGATGTTTGCTTGAATAAAGATTTTATTAAGTTGTTCGTTGATTTATAAAACCTATTTTACCTGTTGAACATTTAATATTAAATAAATAAGATACACTTGTTGTTGTGTTACATAGTTATTAATATTAATAATAATATTTTACATTGTAATAGTTTTAAAGAATTTGTTAATTATATTAACATTTATAATACACAATATATACACAATTATATTATTAATTATATTATAATTATATGATTTAAAAATAAATGTTACATTGTTAATCTTTAATTATAGGGTTTTGTAAATTAATTAACACACAACATATATGCATAATATCATCTACATGGGGTAACAAATCTATAGTTATTTTATTTAAAATTCCCAAAGTTTTTAATTTGGCAAAAACTCTTTCAATGTGGATTCTCACACTAGCAATATTGTATGTTTCAACTACTTCATTTTCACTAAATCTCCCATTATGAAGAAAAGGAGGCATTATTAAAATACTGTTTTTATTTTCACAAGAGACCTTAATACCTGGAAAACCTTTATCTGCCAAAACTTCATCACCTTTTTCAAGTTTTGATAAAAAACCACAGTCATTGGTGATAAATGTGTCACTTGCTCTACCCCCATAACATTTTGATAAAAATGAAATTAAACCACTAGGAGTAATTGCTACTAGAGTTTTTACTGTGTAAGCACTTTTATATCTTGAATACATGTTAACTCTTTGCTCAACTGTACTTGGTTGCTCAGTTTTTATCTCTGTGCAATCAATAATACAGCGGCAGTTAGGATAATTTTGCTTAAATGCTCTTGGTAAAGTATCTAAAATTGATTTTTTGTTGGGCCAAAAGATAAAATGTTTTGTTTTGCTAACTAAAGAATTTAGAACCGAATAAAATATTCTTGACACAGTCGTACGATTAATATTAAATAAAATAATACTCCAATGGCTGAATATGATATACCCAATTTAATTTTGATGAGAAAAATCATTAATCTATTTTCTTTACTCACAGCACTATAACAAGAATCAGAGATAAATGAAAGTAGCAAGTTAAAAACTTTAAATGTAGTACTGGTTAAGTCTTTTAATTGTGACTCGTTAGTTATAGAATGATATCCTAAAAAAGAATTCATGTTTAAACAAGATACATCTGGACCACAAGCAATGTCTTTAGTATTAGAAATTTTAGAAATATTATTTGATAATGGGATATTTGCTTGAGTTCCAACATCATTATTCAATTTATTAAATTCGCATTCAAATTTAAATGGATTTGCATTTTTAAAATCAAACATAACTTGAATTCCCACATTAGAGACACAATTCGAGCTTTCACACTGAAGTGGTTCTATGATTTCTACTTCTGAAGACTTGACATCATTTATCATCATTTTTAACTTTTTGTCTTGACGGTTTGATGTTCGTATATACCTATCACTCAGCTGTTTAATATTAACTTGTTTCTTTTTGTACACTTCAGGAAACAATGATGGTATGTATGAAGGGCTATTTGAGTCATTTGAGCGTTTATTACCAACAAAATGTTCACTGCAGATAACAGAATGAGGCCTAGGATACCACAATTGACCATTATTGCTAAAAGCAGATTTACAGAGTTCAATTTTAATACATTATCCACAAACAAATTAAATATATTATGCTTTTATTTAGCTTACTCTAAACGTTTAACTGCATAAATCCATTGCTTCTTTAATTCACTCTGGTAAGGCTTGTTTGGAAAATTATAAAACTTAACATTTGTAGTGTTTTTATAAGTATTACTACAGTTAACAACACAGCAGATTTTACTCATTTTAAACAATAAATAGGAAATAAATAAAAATGTATGGAAAAATAGAAATACAGTCAATAAATACAAATAATTAAAAATTGGTATTTACTATTTAAAAATGTTTTAATTATTAATGATAATTAATAATATAGGTAAGTACCATAATGTCCATAATGGCATAATGTAATATCCGTATCAATGATCATACAAAAACTGCATGCGTACACTACCGGGAGCGCTAGTGTATATCTGCACGGTGTCTATAAGCATAAACCGTAAATCACAAACATTAATGGGAAATCAAGAAATAATATTTAAGAAGATAGGTACATTATTATGGTATGAAATATTATGCAGTTGCAGTTGCACGGTTATCCCGTATCTGTGTGCAGTTGTTATGAATGGTCAATGGGTAAATAATATTTACCAAATATTAGGTATATTTATATAGTTTATACCCACTCCAAAAGGCAAAAATATTAATTATGTCGTTGATACTATAAATAAACTTTATAAGTTATAGCATGTCCCCGCTGGCCTACGCGATCTTGAATTCTGGGTAATACCCCGAAAATACCGTCGGCCATCGATTAACCAGTATTCGTAAGATTATTTTTATTAGGAAATAAATTTATTGGAAATTGTCATTGTGAATTGTGATAATGAAACATTAAAACGTGACCAAAATAATATGATTAAACTGTTTAGAAATTAGTGTTTTTATTTAGTGTTTCAGTTTATGAATATAATTTTAATTTAAATTTCACTTACAATTTAACTATATATTTGTCGATATTTTATAAAACTCTAATACACTAATAATTGAATAAGCAGTATGAATTTAACATGTGAGTATTGTGGACGTGACAGGAATGATCAAAATAATACCAATTGGAAAAGACACGTCGAATCATGCAAAACCAAGAATAAAAGGCAAAAAGTTAACTTGGACAGTTTTTTTTTAAAAAACCAAAACTCTCTACCTGTAAGTACTGTCCTATTAGTGTTTAAATAATATAAATGCAGGTACCTACCTAAATACTTTTTAGAATAAAATTATTTTAAATTATTCAAGCTGTTCTACAAAGTGACATGTTAGTCAACACAGAGGCCTCTACAGCGTCACTATGTACATTTAAAACACCAAGTATGTACCTCACTTTTATTCTTATTTTTGATGTTAATATTTTTCAATTAAGTACAATTTAAAAAATACTGAAATGTTCAAACAAAATGTCTAGGTAATAGAAATTGTATTGTACTGACTACTGAGTCTTATATTCACAAACATAATATGTAAAATTAAATAAAATAATATGTCATCATATTATTAAAGCATAATTGTTTTTACTTGTAAAGCAGCATTTTGTACCGTGCATTTAATATTGACATTTATTGTGTTAACTTTGATCATTTATTGTATTAATTTTTATCAATATAAATTTCATATTTTCTACCTAGTTTATCAACTTGAATCGTTATGTGAAAATTTAACTACAGATGTTTGTAATAAAAACTGCAATCAAAATGTTGCTTTGGCTGGACTAAATACTGATCAGTTGGAGTCAGGTAATTAAAATTCCTATACTCTTAAGTAAATTAATTAATCTATTCAATTTGATAATTTAAACTATTGAAACTATGAAGTATAACCAAATTAAATACATTTAGGAACCTAAACACAAAATTAAGTTACTAGTAACTAATATGTAATAATATTTAATATTATATAATAAAGCATCATATTTTTAAATTGTAAAAATATAAATGATGTACTGTACATTTTATATTTAATTATTTAAACAAATTATGTTTACTTTGTCCATTTTTGTATTATGTTTATCAATATAAATTTAATATTTTTTAGTTAATGAACTTGAATCATCATGTGAAAATTCAAATAATTGTAGTGAAAATGTCAATACAATTTTTGCTTCATTTGGACAAAATACTGATCAGTTAGAGTCAGGTAATACTCCTATACATTTAAGTTAATTATAATTAATTAATTAATATTAATTTTATAATTTATTTATTCAACTTAATTATTTTATTTATGTACTTGTTTATATTGTATAGTTGATCAACTTGAATGGGCATGTTTTAATACTATTTAATTATTAAATAAATAATATTTTTGTTAAATCAGTATGCTTTTATACTTAATTTATTAATATAACTGATTGTGAAAACAATAATTTAATATGAATATTTAGTATTTACCAATTAATCATTTAAATTTTATTTTTCCATTTATAATGTTTGTTTTCTTTTCTTTCATTTATAGATAAACCTGCAGACTCATTTGAACTTATTAGTTCGTTTGATCCCAAATATTTGTTGAACTCTAATTTGACTCCAGAAGATAAAATAGCAATTATCAATAAAGGAGCATTTCAAGAATATCTTTTCCCATTGTGACGTGTAATGCAAATTACGTATGTCCAAATTATTTATATCAACTACCAAATTACCACTGCACGTATATCCTTGGTATAATATATATATATACATTATACACATAATGTTTGTCGAATTTGTACTATCGAACCGTCGCCGCAGCCGTTATCCATAAGGAAGCCCTATGCCGTGACGATAACCGCTGCCCACCTACCATACTGCACACCCAGCATTTTTTTTTCTTCTCTTCTTGCCCTCCGACCTGGACGGACGTCTCCGGCAACCAAAAGCCAGCGTCCGAGTTCTTTTCCATATATTGTGTAAGGTTTAAAAATGGA